TGCATTTGCTGTTCTTTTGTGTGGCTACTAAGAATTTAAGATCTGATTAATAATTCTTTTTCTCGTTTCTTGGCGTTGGTCTCAATGATTTCAAGAATTTTCACAAATACAATATATTTGTTTTTGTCTTTCGGAATTCTCTTGTCGTGTGTTTGCTATCCTTCTGAGCAGCTAGGAAGTTCAGATCTAGTAAGTGACTAAGCCTCTCGCTCATTTCTCGTTGGCTTTTGTCTCAAAGCTTTGGGGAATTTCGTTCGCTTAAACAATAAGTGTCAAAGCCTAGCTTGTGCTACATCAATAAGTAGATGTTATAGACCAGTAATTAATATCATGAGCCAAAGACCAGAATGTAGATGTGTTATAGACTATTTAATATATAACTAAAATTCATTTTGAGGTTGAGGAAAATCAGTACTTTTTAGAAATTAAAATGTTAAAATTGATAATAAAAAAAATTAAATATTTTTAATAAAATAACACATAAAAATATTTATTAAGAATATTTAAATAATTTTTCATAAAATTCTAACATTTAAATTGTATCATAACATTTAAACTTTAAAGTGTTAAGAAATCCTGATTTTTACTTCTTCTTTTTTCTCATTTTAGTTTAGTCCATTAAATAAATCCATGGCTAATAGTCAAATGAACATACTAGGCAGATTTTTGCAGAACCAATTCCAGCAGAAGGTGTAGACATGATTAAGCTAGTTAACGTTAAATCATGCGCTTTACTTCACAGATATTCCATGGAATCATTAGAGAGATCACAACAAGCTTATTGACGGAATCGTCTAACCATGAAGTAACTTTAATTGAGATATCAACAGAATTATTGGGTTGGTAGGTTTGCAAAGGTGCTCCGGCCGAATTCCGGCCCCACCCTGCAGTTTCCGACAACTTAAAAAATTTCAAGAAAAATTCCAGAAAATTTTCTAATCCTATATTTGGATAAAAATTAGTAAACAGGAGGAAAGGAAGGAGAGGTAAAGGGAAGAAAATTATTGATATTAAGTTTATTTGGATAAATAAAAGCAAATTAGACGGGAGTATAATATTTTTATTTAATTAAATAATTTTTAAAAAATAAAATAAAATAAAAATTTTAAAATTTATTTTTAAAAAGCTTTTAAAAAATAAATATATAAAATCAACCCTCGAATCCTTTTGATTTCAAAGAATTAAAAAGAGAATAGTGGAGGAAATTACATCTTTCTCTATTTTTCTCTTCCTCCATTAAAATTAATAACTCAAACAATACAGGAAAAAATCTCTCCTTCGTCTCCTTCCTCTCCTCTCCAACTTCCTCGATCCAAACTAAACTAAGGGTAAAGGTAGGAAAACAGATCTTAAGCCTAAACCAAGCTCAACGGAACCCTTTTACACGATAATTTCACAATTTCATGTCCAAATCAAGAAATTCCCAATGCACAGTAAACATCGAATGAAACTCAGAATAAATTCACAACAAATTCAAGAGCAAACTCAGATTCCCATTTAATATCAAGTTATAATATACATAAAGTAAATCAAAACAAAATGGCACCTATGTCCGCAGTAACTTTCGGATTCTGAAAAAAGCGCGGACTTTCTATTGCTCTTGATTCCTCCAACCCGAACTCACAATGATCTCCTAGATTCGTCGCCTTCCTCTTTTCGTTTCTCCTGAAATCCCTCTCCCTTTTATAGGCAAAATCGGAGGAGGGAGACACAGAGCCCCAGCCATCCAATTGCCTTCCCACTTATCCCAACCGCTACTCACCTATCCTCCCCGACCTCTTATGAACATCTCTTTAAGTTAATGGCCTTAAGTGAAACAAGTCAAACATGCATGGGTATGAAGCTGAGAATTGAAAGTTTTGGGTTCAATTGAAATGAATTGACGGTACTCACGCCAAATTGCAACAAGCAAAAACAGGGGAGTAAACTGTACAGATTCCAAACGTTTTGGGGTACTTAAACAAATTAGAAATTGAGGACTTAATTGCATGATCTTAAAAAGATGGGCACCAAAGTAGAAGCTAAGAGGTTGGAACATTGACCATTGACTTTGGATTTAACTTGATTGCTTAAAACTCCAATTTAAGGTAATTAATTTAGATTAATTAAAGTCTATTAAAGGTAACTAATTATCTTAATTAATATTAATTAACTCAATCTTAATTAACCTAACCATTATTTATTAAATTTAATTAAAAATATATAAGATGATTAATTAAAACCGATTTAATTTCATTAATCTAATTAATCAACTTATTTAAGCAACGAGTTGAATCTTAAGCCCAAACTCATGCAGATTTTCATTTTTTTCTTGAAAGCCCTCAAAACAAAAGTTACTGGGCCTGACCCATTTCATTTAATTAGATTTTTTTTAATTATTTTAAGGGTGTTTGCGAAAGGAATATGTTAAGGATATTTTTGTTGCACTTTTTATTATTAATTTTTCTAGATAATTACAAAGGTATATTTTATTTTTAATACTAATATTATGATAAAATAATTAAATTAAATAATTAATAAAGTAAATTTTTATTTTTATATAAATTAACGGTATAGGGTATAATAATTGCACTTCTTAGGTTAAAATTTTTTTTAATAAGCCCAACCAAGGAAAAAAAACACTTCGGCCTGGCCCAAAACAAAAAAATACCACCGATCCAACGGAGCAATCCGGATATTGGACCCACTCTTCTTTTAATTAGTTTTTTTATAGTTTTTTTAATAAGCCCCACCAAGGAAAAAAACACTTCGGCCTGGCCCAAAACAAAAAATATAAAAAATAAAAAAACCACAGATCCAATGGAGTCCAGCGGTGAACCATTTCGAGAAACCATTTTCAGATACCGGTGCCGGCAGAAATCTGGCCGGAATTTCCAGATTCCGGCGAGGCCAAAAAAATCCAGAAAAATCATACAAAGATGCAGAAAAATCGAATAAGACCCACAGCATTCAATACAAACCTAAATGCATCCAAATACAGAGAAATAACCTGAAATTTAACATGCATATTCAGGCTTTCAAATACACATTACATGGAAAAGAAAAATTCTTCAACAAACTCACATCAAATTCACAGATCTACAACTAAAAAGAGTAAACAAACAACAAATATACTGTATATATCGATGGCAGGATCTCGAGGCCAGACCGGAGTCCGATCTGAGGTACCCCACCCAAGGGATAGTCCCCGGATCCGATCTAACTTCCACTAGATCCCTCGTTTACAGGGTTTACCTAGCAAAAGGAGGCTGAAATATCCCCGGAACCTTGCCGGAATCACCTCGGTTTTTTTATCTCTCTTTTCTCCCAAAACCCAGAACGATGAAAACCCAAAAATCCCCCTGAAATCCGATTTTTTCTCCTCTTTATACCAAAATTAACATAACCCACAGTCACCTGCGATCCTTCGATCTACCCTTTTCTTTTCTCCCCACCGTAGATCGGATAAGACAAAGCCTTTTCACCGGTTTTCCTCCTACAAGCTCTGGTCTCTGCAGCAAAAGCAAAGGACGAAGAGGGGTCGCCGATTTGTCTGGTGTGCAGAGCTTCTGAGACGTGGGGCCCTCTTGGAGTTAGGAGAGGAACGGCGAAGGGGAAGGGAGAAGCTCGTTAGGAAATTTGCAGAATCGGGGGTTTAGAGTTTTATTTTTTCCTTTTTAGGCATAAAATGACGCCGTCTGGAACCCCTTTTGCACTGTAGTTCTTCAATGTTTACCCGCCCGTCAGCTTAGTCCCAGAATTTAAACGGAATCACATTTAAGTCCCTGCAAAAGGAGACTTGCACTTTAAATATACTCAATTTGGTGCAAAGCGACATTTAACTAAATTCAATCTCGATTTTTCTCAACAAAATGTTTCAGGATCATTTCCCATGTCACATTTGAATTCAAGAACTTTGAAAAT